TTTTCGCTTTCCTTTATTTGGCCTCTTCCCCTTGCTGACAACTATACGGTCACTCATCTTACAATACTTAGTCCTTTCTTCTCGCTTTCCTTTACTTGGCCTCTTCCCCTTGCTGACAACCATACGGTCTCTCATCTTACAATTGATACTTAGTCCTTTCTTCTCGCTTTCCTTTACTGGGCCTCTTCCCTTTTCTGACAACCATACAGTCTCTCATCTTACAATTGATGCTAAGTCCTTTCTTCTCGCTTTCCTTTACTTGTCCTCTTCTTCCTGCTGACAACCATACAGCCTCTCATCTTACAATTGATACTTAGTCCTTTCTTCTCGCTTTCCTTTACTTGGCCTCTTCCTCTTGCTGACAACCATACAGTCTCTGATCTTACAATTGATACTTGATCCTTTCTTTTCGCTTTCCTTTACTTGGCCTCTTCCTCTTGCTGACAACCATACAGTCTCTCATCTTACAATTGATACTTGATCCTTTCTTCTCGCTTTCCTTTACTTGGCCTCTTCCTCTTGCTGACAACCATACAGCCTCTCATCTTACAATTGATACTTAGTCCTTTCTTTTCGCTTTCCTTTACTTGGCCTCTTCCTCTTGCTGACAACCATACAGTCTCTCATCTTACAATTGATACTTGATCCTTTCTTTTCGCTTTCCTTTACTTGGCCTCTTCCTCTTGCTGACAACCATACAGTCTCTCATCTTAAATTGATGCTTGATCCTTTCTTCTCGCTTTCCTTTACTTGGCCTCTTCCTCTTGCTGACAACCATACAGCCTCTCATCTTACAATTGATACTTAGTCCTTTCTTTTTTTCGCTTTCCTTTACTTGGCCTCTTCCTCTTGCTGACAACCATACAGTCTCTCATCTTACAATTGATACTTGATCCTTTCTTTTCGCTTTCCTTTACTTGGCCTCTTCCTCTTGCTGACAACCATACAGTCTCTCATCTTACAATTGATACTTGATCCTTTCTTCTCGCTTTTCTTTACTTGGCCTCTTCCTCTGCTGACAACCATACAGTCTCTCATCTTTCAATTGATGCTTAGTCCTTTCTTTTCGCTTTCCGTTGCTACCTTCTTTAAGAGATCTTGTCTTTTTCTGCAACCAACAATGAGTCATCTGTATATCCAATGCTGATAACAGTTTGACGGCGAATAATTAATTTTGATAGGACTTCTAATTCAAATTCAAACTCACCTCAATGTAAAGACTAACAACTTCATAATTACAGATATTGCTTCAAAGATCTCTATTAAATGAGTCCAATATATAATTGTTCATCTCTTGACAACCATACATTCTGTCTTCTTACAATTGATATTTTGTCCTTCCTTCTCGTTTTTTTTTTACTACGTTCTGTATTATTTCCAATACACTCCTTTCTGTGTGATCAAGCATTTACACACTGTTAAAAAGGGAATATTTTAAAAACATTTTGCTGAATGATTGATAAAAATATAAATATAATGAAGATTAATAAAACGACACAAAAACAGATAAAAAATAGATTATTTCATTCGTGTTAAAATAAATAAATTACTCCAATGAATTTGATCGATCAATTTCCAAACAATAGAAGCTAATTAGTTTTTAATTAGTAATGAAAGCACTTGCCTCTGGTGTTTTGATTATTTGAGAAATCGTCTGGAAAGGTTTTTCAGTGCAATAATCAAACTACACAACTTTTTATGTTTTTAATGTTATGTTTATTTTAAAACTTTGATTCTACATTGAAGATGAAAAATCAAATAAATATATATATATATATATATATATATATATATATATATATATATATATATATATATATATATATATATATATATATATATATATATATATATATATATATACACACACACATATATATATATATATATATATATATATATATATATATATATATATAATAGATAGGAAAAGACAAAATTTATGAGGCATTTTAAAAAAAAAAAAAAAATAAAAAAAAAAAAAAATCAACGGGTTTCGTCCCAGGATTTATCAAGTTTATTTTTCTGGGAATAGAAAATTTAAAAAAGCGTGTATATTAATTTAAATTGACGAATGGAGTGGAATAGAAGAGAAAAAGAAATGAATTTCAAGAAACTAGAGTCCAATAATATTCAGTAAATTCCAGTAAGCATTTCCTCTGTTTACAAAGGGAAATCCCACGGGATCTGATATACAAGGATTCTAGAACCTTGAGGTGAAATGTGGTGTGGGACCTAGATAAAATTAAAAAAAACGGCCCACACTAGAATTAACCACAAATTAAATTAATTTACACGTTTTTAAATTTTCTATTCCCAGAAAAATAAACTTGATAAATCCTGGGACGAAACCCGTCGATTTTTTGTTGAGTGAGGGGATAGCTTTTTCTTTTAAAAAATGCCTCATGAATTTTGTCTTTTCCTATCTATTATATATATATATGTATGTATATATATATATACATACATATATATATATATATATATATATATATATATATATATATATATATATATATATATATATATATATATATATATATATTTATATATATATATATATATATATATATATATATATATATATATATATTACATCATCTTAAATTCTAAAAAAGTCTAGGTACACTAGTGAAGAGGTCATCAGAACAATTACCATGAAGGTATTTACAGAAAAGGCACAGAGAAGCTACATTACGGTGATGGGAAAGTGACTGAAGCTGAGATGCCAGGTGAAGACTGTACCAAAGAGGAAAGATCATCAGAACAATTACCATGAAAGTATTTATAGAAAAGGCAGAGAGAAGCTACATTACGGTGATGGGAAAGTGAGTGAAGCCGAGATGCCAGGTGAAGACTGTACCAAAGAGGAAAGCTCATCAGAACAATTACCATGAAAGCATTTATAGAAAAGGCACAGAGAAGCTACATTACGGTGATGGGAAAGTGAGTGAAGCCGAGATGCCAGGTCAAGACTGTACCAAAGAGGAAAGCTCATCAGAACAATTACTATGAAAGTATTTATAGAAAAGGCAGAGAGAAGCTACATTACGGTGATGGGAAAGTGAGTGAAGCCGAGATGCCAGGTCAAGACTGTACCAAAGAGGAAAGCTCATCAGAACAATTACTATGAAAGTATTTATAGAAAAGGCAGAGAGAAGCTACATTACGGTGATGGAAAGGACTGAAGCCGAGATGCCAGGTGAAGACTGTACCAAAGAGGAAAGATCATCAGAACAATTACCATGAAAGTATTTATAGAAAAGGCACAGAGAAGCTACATTACGGTGATGGGAAAGTGACTGAAGCCGAGATGCCAGGTGAAGACTGTACCAAAGAGGAAAGATCATCAGAACAATTACCATGAAAGTATTTATAGAAAAGGCACAGAGAAGCTACATTACGGTGATGGGAAAGTGACTGAAGCAGAGATGCCAAGTGAAGACTGTACCAAAGAGGAAAGCTCATCAGAACAATTACCATGAAAGTATTTATAGAAAAGGCTGAGAGAAGCTACATTACGGTGATGGGAAAGTGACTGAAGCCGAGATGCCAGGTCAAGACTGTACCAAAGAGGAAAGATCATCAGAACAATTACCATGAAAGTATTTATAGAAATGGTAGAGAGAAGCTACCTGTCCATTATCTGTGAATTGCCAATAACTCTAAATTTGTGAAAAATGCCCCCTTCACGGTATTGCAATCAGAGTAGTATTTTTCTTACATTGACTGATAACCAAGGCTAGAGCGGCCAGTCTACCTCGCTATTTTACCTTTCGGAAAAGTGAAATATTAATTCTTTTCCCATAAGTGTTGTAGCGAAAACGTACGCAGAAGACTTGGACGGAATTTGAACTCATCTGTCTGGTTCCATTTTCCGCTTCCATAAACATTACACCACCTACACTATTTTTTTTTTACTGATATAATGCTACAAATTATTGCTTTAATTAATCATATCTCTTATTATTTTTATCAGCAAATATTTTGAAGATTGTCGAAGATGCTGTTAAGCATGATTTTAAAATTCCCCCTTTGTTGACGGTGTTCATGTCATAAATTGTATCAATTAATTGAATCTCTTTCTCTGGGATTGGTGGCGTATAGGACAGCGTAACATGAAGGTAAAGAACGTAGCCTTTCTTTTTCTTTCCTAGTATTATTGCTTCTCCCTCCTCCTTTGATTTCTTTCTTTTTTCACTTTCTCCCTCTTTTATATTTTTTCTCCTTCTCTAGCAATTACTTTAACACTCTCTCCTTTCTTGAGAAATTTCTAGCTCTGTCATTCACTAAGACTTTTCCCAACGTGTATCCTCTTTCTCTCCCTTTCTCTCTCTTTTTCTCTTTTTCTTTCTCTCTCTCTCTCTTTCTGTCTTTCTTTCCCTCTCTTTCTTTTTCTCTCTCTTTCTTTCTCTCTCTCTTTCACTCTCTCTTTCACTCTATCTCTCTCTCTCTCTGTCTCTCTTTCTCTCTTTTCCCCTCTCTGTCTTTTTCTCTCTCTTTCTTTCTCTCTCTTTCTCTCTCTCTCTTTCTCTCTCTCTCTTTCTTTCTCTCTCTTACTCTCTTTCTCTTTCTTTGAGGCTCTTTTGTTTTTCTGCAGCTGTCTCTCTCTTTAACTAAACGCACCACATTCCGTGTCGACCAGTCGCATTTCCTTCCCCTTGCTAATGGCGTCGCTCGAAAATTTTCCCCTTTAACGACAAAGATGTCGCTTCTTCTTACTCTTCACTTTCTCTTGACTGACATTTGGGTTAATGCAGTTTCCACGACTTGGTCACGTATTCTAGACTGAAGATGTAAAAGGTTTGGGGCGCTATAACGAACAGGAATGGTGGTGGTACGGGCAGAAGATGTGAATATGTAAGATGATGGCACCCTTCCCGGATGTTTTACTCGCGTTAGTGACGGCCTTTAAGTTGACGGGACGTGAAATGAAAGGATGTTGACTCACTCCGGACATTGAAGACTCGAAACGTGACCGACCCCAATTTCGAAAACAAATGTCAATTTCTCCTTCTTTCACTTGGTATTTCTCTTTAGATATCTACCCTTTTTTTTTTCTTTCTTCATTCATTTACCTTGACCAAACAAGTTTTGGTTTGTGTCCTTTCCGTTTTTTTTTGTTTGTTTGTTTTTTTTTAGTTTTTTTTTTTTACTCTTTCTTTCATATCTTTTTGCTTTATTTTTGTTGTTATTTGCATGCTCATTTTTCTTCCGGTCCTATTTCTATATACGTTTTGTTTTTAATTCTTTTTACCTCCCCATTCTCTCTTTCGCTTCTCTCTCTCTCTCTCTCTCTCTCTCCATCTTTCTCCCCCACTCTATCCTTCTCTTCCTAAGTTTTCCCCATATATGCCTTCTATCATTCTCCACCTTTTTGTTTTCTTGTATTTCCAGTTCTTTCTCACTCTACGCACCTTATCTTTCTTCCCTCACTCATAATCCAATTTTTCTTTTTCATGCCGTCTTTTTTTCATCTTTTCTACACCCTTTCTTTCTCCAATGTCTCGTTTCCCTCTTATATTCTATTTCTGTTTCTCTCTCCCTCTTTCCTTCAACTCTCTCTCTCTCTCTCTCTTCCTTTACATATTTTTCTATCTCCTCAAACCAAATCCGATTTTCAAAGTATCTTGAAAGGATGAATGTATGTGAAAAGGCAGGCACTGAAGCAGTGACATCTTTCTCTCCAAATGTGTTAAGCTTTTCCTAATTCATGTCGCTTCTCAACTCTTGCACGCACATCCACCTCTTGTACTGGTCACTTTATTGGTCATTTGCAGATTCTTGCAAGCCGGTAGCACGGCCATGGCGTGACCAAGTCAGGCTTAGATTTCTCTAGAAAAATGGCGGGGCGAAATATAAAGTCAGAATTAAGTAGATACTGGGTGAGACAAGTAGAAGATTATGGAGGAACCAATCATTATAGGATCTTCGAAAATGAAATGGTTGGGGAGTGATTAGGATTAAAAGAATCCTAAAATGATCAATAATCGTCTTGAACATCAAGAGGTTAACTATAGACAACATACGAAGAAAAAGACTGCCAGCACACTCTGTTCCAACCTTAGACCTTACACTTGCATAGCAAAATCTTAAAGTCTACGAGCGAACTAAACTGAAGGGTACTACAATAAAAAAATTAGAGTAATTATAGGCTTTTAGCTAAAAACTAATTCACAACATCCAACAAAGAGTGGAGTGTTACATTTTTTTCACCTTTAAATAATAAATATTTTACAAGCACACAAACAGGACGACAGGAAAGAGTACACAATGCGATGGTAATTACTAAACAACTGCGATTATTTTTAAATTCAAGTTCAAAGATTCTTTTCTTGGATCGTTACTTTCTATTCATCTATGTGCCGTGTCCCTTCAGAACGTAGACGATCAAGATTCTCCACAGCTTCCTGTCCTATGTGCCGCTTAGCGATGTTTGTCTTTTTATATCTCTCTTAATCAATGTTCTGCCAACCATTTACACAATATCGTTAGGTTAGATATCTCCTGTAAGTGTTAGATTTTCCAAGCCTTCATTCTTTAATTACATTAGAATTTTCAATTATCTCTTTTGATTCTAAGTATAAGAATCCTTCTTGCATCCATTTTCTCTAAAATATCATCTTAGTTGTTTTCAGTAGCTACCAGATACACCATTCAACACGATTTGATTATTTAGAATGCATGGCCATTATTGTGCCTGAATCAAATGTAGCCAAAGTTCGATCAATGAATTTGGTTTAACAAAATACATAAACGGACTTTATGGGACATATATATCAAATCTATCTTTAAAGATATTCCAGAATGTATCAAATAAATAAAGCTTCTTCTACGTAAGGCTGTCTATCATAATTTTGCGAACAGGGAACGGCTTGCAATTAATAACTAAGTGTAACCTTTCTAGACTGTAATAATAGATTGAAAATTATATTAATTATTGTTTAGGTGATAAGTATATAATATAATTTGGAAAAAGAATAAAAACAGAAGGAAGAGAAAGTTAAAGAGAAGAGAAAAAAGATTCAAGCAGAATAAGAAAGAAGTCAAAAGAGAAGAAATTGGGAAAATACAGATAACAGTTAATTTAATTAATCAAGGTATATTACAAATGCACGTGCTTGTTGGCTTTTTAGAAGATCTAGCGAAATTTTTGTTCTGTATTTCGTAGTGATCATTATCTTAACAATATAAAATACGCTGATGATACTATGTTGATGGAAGACTCGGAAAGGAAGCTGAAAGCACTCTTAGATAAAGTAATAATGTAAAGCAAGAAGGAAAAGGAGAGTAATGGATAGCAGCTCGGATTGAGGAATCAGAGAGCCGAGTTCGAATTCCGTTTGAATCCATTACATTCACTTACGTGCTAATACAAAGATATGAATCCTCTTCTTTATGCCTCCTCCCCCATAATAAATAGCGGGACATACCGGATTCTATATTCTATAGCCTTGGTCTACCGATGAAAGAAATGGCAACCTACTACAGTGGAAAAAATCTGCCTCGTCAGAAAGATACATGATCGCTTAAGTGTGTATCCCACATGGCACATAACTAACTGACTGACGCGCTAGTACCCTTAGAAAAGGTACGAATGCTTTTCTTCTCCCCCAGTTTTGGGTAAATAGCAGAACAGACTGTGTTCTATAGCCTTAGATTGCAACTGATGTACCGTAGAAAGAAATGGCAACCTACTGCGGGAAAGAATCTGCCTCGTATCACGTATGGCACATAACTGACTGACTGTAAGAAGACAGAATATACAGTTGCCGGCAAAAGAGATAGCTCAAAGTATGAGGTGCATATTGGGGACTTCAGATTCAAGCGAGTACAGAAACTCAACAGAATATTTATACAGTAATCCGAATAAACAAAAGGATAACGAAATATGTCTTCTATATATTAAGCATATAATAAACAAAATACTAAAACATAGAAAAATATGGTTAGCAGGAAAGTATATCTAATATCAAAATGGCATGAGAAAGCTGTTTAATTGACCATGGACAGAACATGTGAGCAATAAGGAAGTTTTAAGGAAAATAGAAGCTACGAGGAAACTGATTCTTACAATCAGAAAGAGAAATCTGAAATTTATGTGCCTTTCTTGATATTTTTCTTCATTATGTAATAAATAAAAATACCAAGAAAAGCAGTGAATACCATGGACAAAACATGTGAGCAATAAGGAAGTTTTAAGAAAAATAAGAACTAAAAGGAAACTGATACTTATGACTGGAAAAACAAAACTGAAATTTATGGGATACATAAAGAGGAAAGTTACCAAGAAATGCTGAGAAAATCATGAACGGAACATGTGAGCAATAAGGAAGTTTTAAGGGAAATAGGAACTACATGCAAAGTGATCCTTACAATCAGAAAGAGGAATCTAAAATTTATGGAAGTTATAATAAGGAAAGATCCAAATAAATGCGTAGAATACCATGGATAAAACATGTGAGCAATAAGGAAGTTTTAAAAAAATAGGAACTGCAAGAAACTGATCTGTACAATCATAAAGAGAAAACTAAAATTTCTGGGACACATAATGAGGAAAGATACCAAGAAATGCTGAGAATACCATGGACAAAACATGTGACTAATAAAGAAGTTTTAAAAAAAATAGGAAGTACAAGAAACAGATACTTAGGATTGGAAAGAGACAACTGAAGTTTCAAAAACATATAATGAGTAAATAGGCCTGGAGAATTTAAAGCAATTATCTTATATTGGATACAAGAGTAGTCGGTGGAAAACAGCGTGTAACATATTGAAAGAGATTAATTTGAATGGATGAGAAAACAAAGAAAATAGATATCGTAAGGGTAAACAAAATAAAGCAAAATCATGCAGGAAGTTGTAGAGAGCCATGATTGTTTACATTCTGAAGTCTATGAAGATTAAATCAGTCTTCTTCGTCTTTTTCTTTCACTTCCTCTTCTATTTATTCTTTCGCTTTTCCTCCTTTTTTAACTTCCTATTTTTAATTCTTTCGCATCTCCTTCTTCATTTTCTTTTTCTTATTCTTTCGCTTCTCCTTTTTTCACTTCTTCTTTTTTTCTTCTTTCACTTCCCTTTCTATTTATTCTTTCGCTTCTTCTTCTTCTTCTTCTTCTTCTTCTTCTTTTCACTCGCTATTCTTCTTCTTCTTTCACTCACTATTCTTCTTCTTCTTCTTCTTCTTCTTCTTCTTATTTCACTTATTCTTCTTCTTCTTCTTCTTCTTCTTTTTTTCACTCGCTATTCTTCTTCTTCTTCTTTCACTCACTATTCTTCTTCTTCTTCTTCTTCTTCTTATTCTTCTTCTTATTTCACTTCTTCTTCTTCTTCTTCTTTTTCTTCTTCTTTTCACTCGCTATTCTTCTTCTTCTTCTTTCACTTTCTTCTTCTTCTTCTTCTTCTTCTTCTTCTTCTTCTTCTTCTTCTTCTTCTTCTTCTAAGTGTCCTGTCCACTTGGGATGTTATCAATGAATTTCTGATTGTTTTCATCTGTACCCCTTGCCTTCAATCTCTACTGTGTGTATGAAATTTTACAAGCCAATTTTAGTAACTATTGCCCAAGAAATTTCACTTATCTCTTTCTGATGTTCAGCATCAGAGTCCTTTTCTTTTCATTTTCTTTAAAACTTCATCATTGCGCATGTGTTCGGTCTATGGTATTCTAAATTTAATTCCGTAGAAACGGATTTCTGTTACTTCAAGATTCTTCTCTAAGAAAGGAAGGAAAACGAATGAAGATAACAACAAAAGCAAACCCCACAAGGAAAGAGAAAAATAGGAAAACGAATAGATAGAGAAATAAAAGGAAAAGGTGTGAAGAAAAAGAAAGAGAGGGAAAGGGGTGAACAGGGTAAAAAAAAAGGAAAACGTGAGGAAAAAGAAAAGAAGAGAGAGGAATGGACAGGACAAGAAAAGGAAAACAATTGAGGTAAAAGAAAGAGAGGAAAACGAATGAACAGGGCATTGTAAGGAAAACATGTGAGGTCAAAATGGAGAGGAGGGAATGGACTGGCCAAAAGAAGGAAAACCTGTGAGGTAAGGAAAGGAAGAGGAAGAAATGGACAAGGAAACAAAAGGAATATTTGTGAGGTAAAAGAGAGGAATGGAAAGGAATGAACATATCAAAAAAAGCAAACCCCACAAGGAAAGAGAAAAATAGGAAAAAGAATAGATAGGGAAATAAAAGGAAAAGGTGTGAAGAAAAAGAAAGGGAGAGAAAGGGGTGAACAGGGTAAAAAAAAGGAAAACATGTGAGGAAAAAGATTTGAAGAGAAAGGAATGGATAGTGCCACAAATGGAAAACAATTGAGGTAAAAGAAAGGAAAGAAAACGAATGAACAGGACATTGTAAGGAAAACATGTGAGGTAAAATTGGAAAGGAAGTGAATGTACTGGACAAAAAAAGAAAACATAAAAGGTAAGCAAAAGAAAGGAAAGGAAATAGACAGGGCAAGAAAAGGAAAACAACTGAGGTAAAAGAAAGGGAGGGAAAGTAATGGACAGTGCCACAAAATGAGAAGAATTGAGATGAAAGAAAGGGAGGAAACCGAATGAACAGGGCATTGAAAGAAAAATGTGTGAGGTAAAAAAAAAAGGGAAAGGGGGGGGGGTATAGACAGGGTGAAAAAAGGAAAACGTGAGGAAAAAGAAAAGAAAAGAACGGAAGGGACTGGGCAACAAAAGGAAAAGGTATGGGGGGAAAAGAAAGCAAGGAAAATGAATGAACAGGGCTTCAAAGGGAAAACATGTGAGGTAAAAAAAGCAATGAAAATTGATGGGTAGAGCAACAGAAGGAAAACATGTGAGGTAAAAAAAAGCAATGAAAATTGATGGGTAGAGCAACAGAAGGAAAACATGTGAGGTAAAAAAAAAGCAATGAAAATTGATGGGTAGAGCAACAGAAGGAAAACATGTGAGGTAAAAAAAAAGCAATGAAAATTGATGGGTAGAGCAACAGAAGGAAAACATGTGAGGTAAAAAAAAGCAATGAAAATTGATGGGTAGAGCAACAGAAGGAAAACATGTGAGGTAAAAAAAAAAGCAATGAAAATTGATGGGTAGAGCAACAGAAGGAAAACATGAGGTAAAAAAAAAAAAGCAATGAAAATTCATGGGTAGAGCAACAGAAAGAAAACATGTGAGGTAAAAAAAAAAGCAATGAAAATTGATGGGTAGAGCAACAGAAGGAAAAACATGTGAGGTGAAAAAAAGCAATGAAAATTGATGGGTAGAGCAACAGAAGGAAAACATGTGAGGTAAAAAAAAGCAATGAAAATTCATGGGTAGAGCAACAGAAAGAAAACATGTGCGGTAAAAAAAAAGCAATGAAAATTGATGGGTAGAGCAACAGAAGGAAAACATGTGAGGTGAAAAAAAAATGAAAAAATTGATGGGTAGAGCAACAGAAGGAAAACATGTGAGGTAAAAAAAAAAAGCAATGAAAATTGATGGGTAGAGCAACAGAAGGAAAAACATGTGCGGTAAAAAAAAAATAAGCAATGAAAATTGATGGGTAGAGCAACAGAAGGAAAACATGGAAAAAAAAAAGCAATGAAAATTCATGGGTGAACAAAAAAGCAATGAAAAATTGATGGGTAGAGCAACAGAAGGAAAAACATGTGAGGTAAAAAAAAAATGAAAATTGATGGGTAGAGCAACAGAAGGAAAACATGTGAGGTAAAAAAAAGCAATGAAAATTGATGGGTAGAGCAACAGAAGGAAAACAGAAAAAAAAAGCAATGAAAATTGAAAACAGAAGGAAAACATGAGGTAAAAAAAAAAAGCAATGAAAATTCATGGGTAGAGCAACAGAAAGAAAACATGTGAGGTAAAAAAAAGCAATGAAAATTGATGGGTAGAGCAACAGAAGGAAAACATGTGAGGTGAAAAAAAAAGCAATGAAAATTGATGGGTAGAGCAACAGAAGGAAAACATGTGAGGTAAATGAAAAGGGAGAAAAAGAAATGGACAGGGCAACAAAAAGAAAAGAATTGAGATAAAAGAAAGGGAGGAAAACGAATGAACAGGACATTGTAATGAAAATATGTGAGATAAAAATGTAGAGGAAGGGAATGGACTGGGCAAAAAAGGAAAGCAAGTATGGTAAGAAAAGGAAGAAATTTGTGAAGTAAAAGAAAGGAATGGAAAGGAATAGACAGGGCTACAAAATGAGAAGAATTGAGATGAAAGAAAGGAAGGAAAACGAATAAACAGGGCAATGAAAGAAAAACATGTGAAGTAAAAAAAAAAGGAAAGGAAGGGTATAGACAGGGTGAAAAAAAAAGGAAAACATGTTAGGAAAAAGAAAGGATGGAAAACGAATGAACAGGGCATCAAATGGAAAACATATGATATAAAATAAAGGAAAGGTAACGAAAGGACATGATAACAAAATAGAAGCGTGCGAGTTGTTAGAAAGCAACAAAAAGGAATGAATTGTACAACAAAACGAAATATGTGAAGATAAGAAAGAAAGGGAAACTTATGAAGAGGGACAATAAATGAAAACCTGTGAAGAAAAAGAATGGAAGATTAAGGAATGAATAAAGAAAGAAAATGAAAACTTTCTCAGCAAAACAAAAGGAAACTTAAAATAAGGACACAAATAACAACGTGTGATTAAAAAAATGGGATAGAAAGAAAACAATTGAAATTGCAGGCAAAAGAAAAACGTGAGAGGTATAAAGAAATGAATGAAAGAGTGATTAAAGAAACAAACGGAAAACTTTTTCTATAAAAGTTTTAAAAAGAATGAAAAGGAAACGAATTAATCATAATACGAAGTAAAACCAGCGAGGAAAAAAAAGAAGGAAGGAAAATGAATCAATAATGAAAAAAAGGAAAAGTTTTGAGTGAAAAAAAGAAAGGAAAGGAGATAAATCAATAAAGGAACAAAAGGAAAACGTATGAGTAAAAATTAAGGAAGGGAATCGAATGAACAACAAAAGGAAAATGTTCGACGAAAAAAAAAAGAAGTGGAAGGAAAAGGGCAAAAAATATAAAACGTATGAGGAAAAAGAAAGAAAGGTAATCGAATGAAAAGAACTTGAATATACAAAATGTTGGTAGTAAAGGAAAGAATGCGAAAAAGAATAGAAAAAAGTGGGAAAGTATGTGTTTCGTTTGAGTATCCGACATCCATATTCACCTGGGACGCAATTGTTGATTTACGGACTATGATCTGCGTGAATTTAATTTTACCGCGATTTTTTTTCTTTCTTAAATATCTTGTGGTTTACTGTCGGACTGAAACCTCAAGATTAAGCTATAATTTAAACACGATTTGAAAGCGATAAACCTCTACCCATCCTTTCATTCTCTTTTCTCGTCCAATCTTTAATTTACTCTCTATTCTTCCCCCGTTTCCCTTTCACATCATTTTACATTCTTTTTCTTTATGGATCCTTGGACCGCGTTTTCTTTGCTCAACGAATTGAAAATTTATGTATGCATTCAACAACAAAGATTGTATAGTTTTGTCTTCTTTCGTTTAACTTTCAATTTTAGTAGTGCGAGAAAGGGTGGGAAATTTAGTTTATGCCGTAGGTCATTTTTTCTTCTCTTTTTTTTTCCCTAATTTTCTCTGATGAACCCTGGAAGAATAATTGGAAAAGAATGCTTTTAATCTCAAAGAAATCTTATCTTTTCAGTGACTTGCAGTTGTGGCGGCGTTATTTTTGTTAATAGACTTCACAGCGATAAAGCCGCAGATGGAGCTGATAACATTAGATGTCTTTTTTTTTTACTTTTTGTCACAGATAAGAGAAATCTCATGTATCTTTTTTTAAAATTTGCACGTGATAATCTTTGATTGCAGAACAAAATAATATATTTTACAATACAGTTGCGAGTAAAACAAAAAAAAACAATAAAATACAAATAAACTTCCTAAAAATTAATTAATTTACTTTTTACTAAGAAGTCGTTAGGTTTCAAAAATGTATTTTCAAGTGTAGCATTTTGGTCATTCGAGTCAACGCATTCACACTTTTTGTACTTGATAATTTTTGCCACGTTGACAGCAGAACGAAATAATATATTTTAAATACAGTTGCGGGCAAAAAAATAAATAAAAAAAAAACAAAAAAAACAATGAACCATGTTCCTAAAAATTAATTTGTTTCGTTCTTACTAACAAATTAATTTTTAACAAATTTTAAATTTGTTAGTTTTCACACATGTACTTTCAGGTGTGATATTTTGGTCATTCAAGATTGTAGTGGTAAGTTGACGCATTCACATTGATATATTACGAAAGGATATATACAAATCTGAAAATAGGGCATACAAAAATTATGAGCAGTTTGACTTAATCTCATAGTAAAATTCTTCACATATTAAGATACGCATGTATATTTCTCATGTTGTATATACCAAAACACAGATTTTATAAAGTTTGGAGCTCCCAACTTGACAATTTAGTATAATGGGGAGACTAAGTGTAGTGGATTCCGGGGATGGAATCCTGCACATATAAATAAACAACGCCAGCAATTGAAATAGAAAAATATGTGTAGTAAACGTAAGAATACAAACTTGAAGTGAAGATTAGTAGATCCGGAATGCGGGTTAGTAGAAAAGTATATTTACAAGTCTCTGTAATGGAAGCCGTAATTATCTCTCTTTCTGGACTCTCGTATAACTGTGGGTGAACACCCTTTCTCGGCGTTTTTGTCACGCTATCTCTCCGTAGTATAAATATAATTTGGATGAGTCTGGTAACGTTACAGTAATGGTAATATTAGCTGTTACCTTATATGGAAAAATTCGGCATTCATTGACTGAGTCCCCAATACTATTTTCGGTTAAAATTTATAAAATATTTCTAAATCTGAGAAAATAACTTTAAACTAATATCGCTTTCCAGTGATGATGAAGGTTTCCTTCCTAACGTTTTATTTGAAGTAATATGGAACGTAATCATCTTGACTATGTCATTACTTTCTCTTCGAGTTACATATGCTATCCATTTTAGTTGTTGCTGCTGTTGAAAGTCCTTAAATTATGTGGTTTTCGTTATTTAGTACAGTTCGTTTATGATCCTGTAGCGTTAATCCACATATTTCCAAAAAAGATAATCCACGCTAAAACTTACACGCTTCATTTTTAACCACTGATCTGAGTAAGCAGTTATAAAGAAATGACAGATTAGGTTTTTTTTCGAATTTATGGAAAAGAGATAAAAGAATGTGTGTGTGTGTGTGTGTGTGTGTGTGTGTGTGTGTGTGTGTGTGTGTGTGTGTGTGTGTGAAAAATATATAGAAAATAGGAAAGAACTCGTTAGGTAAATAATCCAAAGTTCTTTAGTATTTTTGTAATTTTAAAAAATAATGCTCGATACAAAAGCAGAGCATAAATATAATTAAATTTTTAAAATATGATTTGAAACACGTTACATAAGAGTTCTCATGTTTCGGCTCTTGTTTTGAAACATGAGAACTCTTATGTAGCGTGTTGAATCATATTTTTTAAATAAATAATTATATATATATATATATATATATATATATATATATATATATATATATATATATATATATTTGTGGCAATAAAGTCACTATACAGTTACTTATAATAAAAAGCAAAGCACTGAAGCAGGTGACTTGCATTTCAAACAGTATCAAATTAATTTATTATTGTTTACCATAGCATTTTATTGTTATTAACCAGAATTAAGCAGAACCATTTTAATAATAAATTTCTGCACTATTGATTAATTGCTTTGTCTTAATTGTTATTGTAAGGAACTGTATAGAGTCTTACGTATTTGCACCTCACGATTGCAGCAACTGCATGATACTCCGTGTCATGCTATCGACGTTAGATATTACTTGTAGGTCTGTCTCATAAAACTGAGCACTCTATTTATAACAACTGTGGAAGAAATATATTTATACGTACGTAAAATCTATCTATCTATCTTTATATATATATATATATATATATATATATATTTGGTTGGATTGTGTTAGCTCTATCTCTGATATTGAGCGCTTTCTAATAAGTACCGCGCATATAATATATAAATAATTATACATATATATATTTATTTATATTTATATACACTTTTCACATATATATATATATATATATATATATATATATATATATATATATATATATATATTTTATTAAAAAAAAATTATAACACTAAATATGCATAAAATCACTACAAAAATAGCCATTTTATTTCATAAAATAAAAAGTTTTTATTTTTATTCTTCAACATCATCAGATTGATAAGACAAAAGATTTTGTTGAAACAAAATGGCTATTTTTGTAGTGATTTTATAATTTATTTATCTTATAAATTTTTTTTTTCATAAAAAAATAATTATATCTGTTCTACTTTGTATTGAGCACTCTTTTTAAGAATAGTAATTGTTGGTTATTGAATTCATTCTGTATACACAATTATATACTTAGGTATATATATATATATATATATATATATATATATATATATATATATATATATATATACGGATATTACAGATGAAGAAAGGAACATTATTCTGTATGAAAAAATCGGTACTTATACATAAAGGTGAGGAATGGATTAAGAATTTACGACCAATTTGACATCACAATGGGATCACTAGACTCAGCTGAGTCTTCTGATCTCATTGGTCTTTTATATTATACAACCTTACAGTCGCACTATGATATTAATACAAATGACATTGGTTTGTACAGAGACGATGGACTTATGGTTATTAGAAACTTAACTAACTTCAAAATAGATAGAATTAGAAAGTTATTATATAAAGAATTTAAAAGCATGGGCTTAAAAATTACGGTTAGTACTAAATTAAAAAAGTGGACTTCCTAGATATAACATTAGATCTAAATAAAAATGCATACACACCTTATAAAAAAACCAACACCAATCCTTTATATATTCACCCTAAATCAAATCACCCCCCATCTATAATTAAACATATACCGTTATCTATCAGTAATCGAATTCGTACAAATTCAGCAAATGACAAGATTTTCGATGAGCATATCAATTCCTATAATAAGGCTCTAAAAGAGAGTGGCTACAAAAACCCAAAACTCACTTATATAAAAAATGAAAATGGAAAGCATAGAAAAAACAGATGTAGAAAAATTATTTGGTATACTCCCCCATACAACCAAATGGTAAAAAACAAATTAGGACATAAATTCGTCGCATTAATAGTCAAGCATTTTCCTAGTGACTATTTTCAATAAAAACACACTAAAATTGAGTTATAGCTGTACAGAAAACTTAGAAAAAATCATTAAGAACCATAATGCTAATATCTTAAATAAACACTTATACCAAAACAAAAAAAAATTAGACAATGGAAAAATAAAGATAAAAACTGATGGAAATAAACAAAAACTATGTAACTGTAGAAACCCTCATAATTGCCCTCTACAAAATAAATGTTGCACGGAATCATTAATATACCAATGCAATATCTCTTCGATTGAAAGTCCTGAAAACATAAAAATATATATAGGTTGCACTAGCCATGAATTAAAAAAAAGATTCAACCAACATCAAACTTTATTTAGAATAAATAAATATAAAATTCAGACATCTCTCTCAAAATACTTCTGGCATCAGTAAAATGGAAGTTAATAAGAAAAGCTAGAATATGTAGGTCATTGAACGACCCATGTCCTTTGTGCATACACGGGAAACTATATATTACTAAGTTTATAAAAAATAAAAATTTACTGAATCAGAGAAATGGAATAGCTATTATATGCCGTCATTGTCAAAAATTTTCCTTAAATAATATTTAAAAATTTAAAAATAAAAATAAATTTAAAAAGAAAAGGGGGGCAATCAGGTAGTATACATACTTATATTTAACATGAAAAATAATTTTATATACTATAAGTAATTATATTACATTTACTTGTTTTTTTCTTTATAAAAAAAAAAAAAAATTGGAATAACAGTGAAAAATATTTTAAAGTTGCTATTTAAAATTGTAGTTAAAACGATTTTAACCTAAGCATCTTTTAAAAAATTGCAATTAAATAAAATGTATACTAACCTAAACACCTCTAAAAAAAGTACTACCGGCAATTAAATGAATCCAATAAAACACCTACTGAAAAATGAAATTATAACGAAATCTAGATGATGTAGGCCTGTGAACGACCCATGTCTTTTGTACAAACGTATGAAACTTTATTACTTAGTTTATATATATTTAAAATAAATAAATAAATAAATTAATAAATAAAGTTTACTAAATCTGAGAAATGAATTAGCTATTTTTCCAGTAAGTGCCATAAATATTACTTAAATAATATTTAAATATAAAAGTTTAAAAATCGTAATATACATATACTTTGATATGGAAAAATAATTTTACTTAATATAAGTAATTTCAAATACATTTCCTTCTGTTATAAAGTAATATAGTCTATTAAAAATAACAATGTAAATATTTGTAATTAAAATTGTAGTTAAATAAAATGATTTCTAACCTAAACTTCTTTTACTTAGTACTACACGCGCTTTAAAGAATCCAATAAAAAACCTATAGTAAAATAAAATTAATATGAAATGCCAGAAGATGTAAGCTTATGAATGACCCATGTCCTTTGTACTTACATGAGAAACAATATATTACTTGGTTTATATATATAAAAAATAAAAGTTTACTAAATCAGTAAATTAAGTAACTATTTTTGCCGTCATTGTCATAAATTTTACTTAAAAAAAATGTACCCTAATATACATACTTATACTTGATGTAAAAATAATCCTACATAATATAAGGGATTCTAATACATTTGACTATTCATAAAAAAATATAGTATAATAAAAATTAAAAATGAGAATATTTCAAATCGTAGTTAAATAAAAAGTATTCTAATCTGAACACTACCGAAAATCTTTAAATTTACAAATAGGAAAGAAAAAAAAAAGCCGTAAGAATTTTTTGCCGTTAACAATAAATTTTTAAAAAATCCAGACGATATGCATTCAACGGATGTCAGTTCTCATTGAAAAGTACATCCCTACCCCTTACCAAAATGTAGCTAATAACCGATACAATGATACAGACATAAGGAAAACCCAGACAACCCTTGTCCAATTGAAGTAGATTTATCTGTAACCATGGAAACGTGATTTTAGCTGTGTCTTTAAAACCCAGTAATTTTAAAAGTTACTCCAAAATTCGCTTGAGGATGAAATGGAACTAATGTCTTTAATTTAATTGCAAAATTAAATTCGTGGCTTTTAGCTTCCATTTTTGAAACATGGTTAGAACTGTGTAGCGGGAAAAAACATATTTTAAATCAATTAATTTATAATATTAATGCTCTGTAAATTTACATTGAGCACTATTTTGTAAAAATAAAAATATCTATAAGAACACCTGATTATATATCTTACTGTTCTTGCTTTTATTTAAATACATATATATATATATATATATATATATATATATATATATATATATATATATATATATATATTAACAGTATTACTCACTTGAAAAAACTCAACTTGTATACACGTGAGTACAAATTGGTACCCGAGGAAAAAATTGAAAGTAAAAAAAGAAACAATTAAACACATCAGAACAAGGCGAAAAAATCGTCAAGTGTCTTAAGTCTTTAGTCCAAAGAAAATAAAAACCTAGCGAGTATAAAGACAAGGAAAACGTAGAGGGCTCAATACGCTAAGTAGAGTGGTAAATAGAATAAATTGAACAGAGCCAGCCAAACCTTCCTAGACTGGCTACCCTGAAGATCCGTTTAGGTGAAACCTAGGTAAGTTTGGCTGACTCGTTGTTATTTTTATATATATATATATATATATATATATATATATATATATATATATATATATAATTAATTTAATGAAAAACAGACCATTTTATATACCATTTCAATAATTTATTTCACCAAAATCTTTTTAAATTTTTTATCATCAGGTAACACTTGCAACTTATTGTTGAAGTGTTACCTGATGATCCGAAATCTTTTTAAAAGGATTTTGGTGAAATAAATTATTGTAATGGTACTTATAGTGGTCTGTTTTTCATTAAATATTAGCTCTGTTCTTCACATTGAGCTCAGGATTTAATCCTCCTTGATTTACCAATTCGGTTTACCAAATTCTTCATAAATTAAATATATATATATATATATATATATATATATATATATATATATATATATATATATATGAAGAAAGTTGAAAGACCGTATGTATAACATAAATCAAGAGGACAAACAAAAGCATTTGGATTTACCGCGAAAAAGAATGGCAAGATAATCCTAACAAAATAATTTTGAATTTGTATTCCTCCATCCAACACTTTGACACTAAAAGGGTTCATACTAAGTACTGGTTAGCTTTAAATTTAAATATATGAATAGTGGCTGCTAAATTATGCATGCCTTATTAAACTCGGGTCATGTTCTTAAAACAACCTTGTCATATCTATCTTTTTATATTGATGTCATGCATGGTGCCAAACCTGTTTATATATATATAAACTATCAGATGTATACAATTACTTTCTCGGGTCGATGGTTAAAATGGTTTTGAGCGAGTGAAGCATGTGGATATTTGAACCTTGTGGACCTGTGCTACTGAATCAAAAACAAAAATTACACCAAATAATCAGAAACCACATCATTTGAGGACCTTACTCTTATGAAAAGCAAAATGAAAATAATATCATAAACAAGATATTGATATTTCACACTACTTCAAATAAAATATTACCCAGGTACCGCCCATCAATGCTGGAAAGAGTAACAGTTAATGAAATTGATAAACCTATTTTCCTGAAAAGTTCTTTTAAGAGAAAGATTTTAGAAATTGCAATAGCAATAGTACTGTTTACTTGGTCAATGAATGTCGGATTTTTTCTTCATAAGCAAAAAACTGATATTGACTTTTACTATTACCCCATACGTAAAATTTGATATAAATAACATTCATTATCAATTTTAACCTATTTATGATAGTAAATTATTTTTATCCAAAAGGTTACAATGATTCGAAAGTACAATCGTCAAATACAGCATGATCAAGAGAGCAAACCTTTTATATTTAGTTTGATGATCTTTTCCTAAATTACTCGGGTAATATGTATTTTTTTATTATTATCTTGTAAGAGTAGTACGACTTTACGATTAACCAATGACGAGCGATTTTTCTGCAAACTTTTTTTAAAGTTACTCACAAAAATACTCCTCCGCATGAAATAAAAATTCCTTTTGTTTTAAAGCTTCATCATATATCAGTAAACAAAGGCTTAACTTTTTCGGATGCAGTCCTTGTTTGACGTCAGATTTTACTTAGATAACATTTTTTTTATTATTGATGATGATTCTACACAGGTAATGTTTTGTAATAACGTTAATATTCTATGACAAATAGAGAGCAACTCTTTGATTAACCTTAGAAGCACTCAGATGATAAAGTATCCAATAACTTTCCTTTGATTTTCTCAAGGTATTTTATTATCAAAGTATGTCTTGTATTGAAATCTTTTGCTAATTCTTGTGAAGTTGCTTAATGTTTTACCGCAGTTAGAATCTACAAAAGCTCAATATTGATAGAAATTTGATCGATCGGAATCTTCGAAAGAAACATTTTCAGATCGAAACTCGCCTGTACGGATACTTAAGGCATCATTTTCATAGCCAAAACGATTTTTTTCAGTGCTGACAAAAATAATGTTTCTCCGAATGAAACGAAAAATTTGTTTTGCTTTAACATATGAATAGGCGACAGGACTGAAAGACAATTTCCAACGTGGAACTATTGACAAATATGCTGTCAAAAAAATTAAAAAAAAAACTGCAACGGAAGTAGAGAGATTACACAGGCAGATTGAAAGATAGCAACAACAGGATTCTACACATGTTTCCTCAACATCGGATATCTTTCCACTAATGTCTTCCCGTGAAGAAACAACCGATAACAGTTTTGAGCCAGTACACAGTCTAGGAGAATTTACAGTCTCTAGATATAGCATGGAACTTATTAAGGATGATGTATCTTCCAACTATGGGACATGGCTTTCTAATGCCTTTTTATTAGTCCTACAAAATATGAGCTTTCTTCTTTCTAGACTCAACTTAAAGGACATAGTCACTGATAAGTCAAAACAAGACAGGGAAAAGTCAAGATTAAACGTAACTACCCATCAGAAGCATGTTCAAAACCATGAAAATATCATCTTCATTGGTGTTAATTGAAAATTGATAAAGACACCTTGCAATACAAAAATATTACAAAGGGAAACAGCAAAAAAAGACATTAAGAAAACCAAATGACCAAAGCGCTAATTGATTTTCACTCCAAATGGACAAGGAAGGTAGATATCTCACCCACATTCCTAACATCGGTGTAACTAGTTTTGTTATAGCAGAGGATATTGCTGCTGTTATTGAAGAATTCAACAGCGTAAATTCTATAAAAGGTAGTTCTTGTAGACAACACCATTGCAAACACAGGTGTGAGGCAGCACTAGGGAAAAAGATAATTAAAAGTTAGTTGCACGCCATTGGCTGTTCACTTCATCAAAATGAACTTCCATTTGAAGCCTTTTTAAATACATTGAAGGAACTAAAAGAATACCTACTACTATAATTAGACGTCTATGGAAACTTTGCGAAATGATTTCCAGAATTTGTTCCATGTGGAATTTAACACTATCAATAGCCATCTAGATAATTTCTATCTTACTGTAGGGGCAATGGAAGATTTAAGTGGTGACCGAAGACTAGAATATGCAGCAATAATTTCTCGAGGGAAAATGGACCCTAGATTTTCTGCTTGGAACATTGTATCTCTAAATCAAGCAAGATTAATCAGGTTAATGCATATACGGACCGGAGCTGTCTATCCACCAGCACTCTATGATAAATTGTATAGCCATTAATAATTGAAATATATGCAGTTAGTCGATTTGAAATTAAAAGGAATAATAAATTCCATAACCGTATTTCTTCAACATGATCCAGAGAATAAATCAGCTTCAAAAAATATAGACCACAAAATATTTGTTATACTCGATACTCTAGTCAAAGTTGATTACCTTCTTATAAAATAGAGTTTACGAACCTACACTTACAGAAGATTTTTCAGGTAAACAAATGCAGGTGGCTTTAATAAATAGAACACTAGAGTTTCCAAATTTACCTGCACATTCGCATGGTGTGGAAAGAAAAGTTAAATTAACTAAGGAAGCTTCAGAAATTTATATGGACAAGAAGGAAGGGACAAATACATTATTCTTAAATAAATGTGCCATCAAATAACACCTGTATTTACTTCAAAGGGAAATTATACAATTTACCTATATTATGATGTAATATGTTACATACAGTGCAGTAGTTTTAGTGTGATTTTGAATAGACAATTTAAATTTAAGAGATTTTGTCTTCTAATTTGTGACCTAGCAGTATTATAGTGTTATATACACTTTTAGATTTTGTTTTTATTAAATATAACATAACAAATCTTATTGATTGGCCTTTTTTGCAATCTTTTACAATTTTATAGTTTTCACTTATCGAATACAGTAAAACATTGTATATTTTGCTAGCGAGGATTCATAATTAGAATTCAGAATCTAATGTAAAAGATATCAACTTTATTCGAATTTATTCTTGAAATAGTAAAATTTTGAATTCATTTCGTAAGCAAAAACCTGTGAAATTTAGGTATTTCTGTACATGTTTTCAGATCTTTAAAACTAGATGTCCAAGTACTGATAAAATCTAGGAATCTAATGTCTGGTGTCAGCACTTTTTATATTAAACCTCAGCTTTTGCATCAAGTGCAATGTAAATTTTCTAAAAACGTGAATAATGGTTTCGTTTGCTTTGTTTTATTACATATCAACCTCAATATGTTATTTAATGGCAACAAAATTTTTATTGCTGGCAATACTTTCTTTTCAAAAATGTATTGCTGGTAATATTTTTCCTTCAAAAATCTATTTCTGGTAATATTTTTTTCAAAAATGTATTCTTTTAAATTACTGGTAATAATGCAATGCTGGTAACAAATTTTTCCTTCAGAAATTTATTGCTGGTAATAATTTCTTACAAAGTATTACACTTTCATAGTATTTTGACGCCAGTTTGGGGTTACCTATTTGCCCATAGCGGAACCCTAACAAGTGCTACTACTACCTCGGACCAGGGTGGACCCGGGGAACACCAGCAATTAAGAGGTGGCCCCACGCTCCTCAAAACCTCCCGATCAGAGGCCTTGATGTTGGACGTAGTTTATCGTCATACCCAGGATGCGGATGTAGTTTATCGTCATACCCAGGATGGGGATGTAGTTTATGGTCATACACAGGATGTGGATGTAGTTTATCGTTATACAAACAATGTGGATGTAGTTTATCGTCATGCCCAGGACGCGGATGTAGTTGATCATCATACCCAGGATGTTGATCGCCATACCCAGAACACAAATGTAGTTTATCGTCATACAAAGTACATGGATGTAGTTTATCGTCATGCCCAGGACGCGGATGTAGTTGATCGTCATACCCAGGACACGGATGTAGTTTATGGTCATACCCAGGATGCGGATGTAGTTTATCGTCATACCCAGGACGTGGATGTAGTTTATGGCCATACCCAGGACGCTGATGTAGTTTATGGTCATACCCATGACGCGGATGTAGTTTATCTTCATACCCATGACGCGGATGTAGTTTATCGTCATACCCAGGAGGCGGATGTAGTTTATCTTCATACCCAGAAGTGAATAATGGGTATGCTTGGAAGTAAGTAGCCATGCAGTAGATGATAAATCATGTTGATTTGCTTTTAAGTTGAAACAGTTTTGATGTGCTACAAAGCTCTTAGCATATACCTTTTTCTGAAACCTGAGCAAATGAACAATATTCTGATTTTTTGGTAAAGCTTCTTGGTTGACAGGATATTTTTCAAGACCTTCTTATATTTTCTCAAAATAATTTCCTTTCTTATCAATGCATTTAAACCAATAATTATCTACTTTGATTTTAATCAAAGAGTAAAAGTATCAATAATTTCAATAATATAACTGTGTCAGGCTATAAACTTATTTATGCCCTGTGCATACTACCACTGAATCCTCCTACCGTGTGGGGGGAACTAGAATGATTGGGGTTCCTGTGCAGTGCTTTGTGACCCTTGCTATCTTATCAGCATTTGCTTTTTTCTACCTACATTTATTTATATTACAATTTAAACTAACCACAATTGACTATTAAAGGATGAAAAATTTATTAATCTAATTTTTGATATCAGTACTTACCATATCAATGCCTATCTATTGCATCAAAC